ACACCAGCCCTTTCCGAGTAGGACTTCTTGAGTTTGGCGAACTGTGCGCTCACTTTGACCCGATAGTGGATCTCATTATGAGCCTGGTCCACCACTTTTAGCTTTATATGCTCCGGGTTAGCCACCTCTAACTTCCCTTCATCTGCCGTTCCCGTTGACATTTTTTCCGGGGTACCGGTGCTCGGCTATAACTCAAATACATACCATTAGTCAGGGATGTGTCACGTGTTTCATCCATGTTTAGCATCAGTTGTGGTGATCATTGGATCCATACTTACATGGATTGCGTGAATATTGCGTGAAATGAAAGCTAAGGCGATGTCTAATAGACTCACTGATAGACTGNATAACTCAAATACATACCATTAGTCAGGGATGTGTCACGTGTTTCATCCATGTTTAGCATCAGTTGTGGTGATCATTGGATCCATACTTACATGGATTGCGTGAATATTGCGTGAAATGAAAGCTAAGGCGATGTCTAATAGACTCACTGATAGACTGAATGTATAGTGTGTTTACTGTTAGCACTCAATACCAGGCTCAATGACTGCATTTTACAAAATGGATAAGGGTACAAAGTTGAATAAATATTACACCTTGTTTAATTAATTATACGTCAAACACAGAAACAAAAAATAGTTTCATTGCATATGTACCGAATTCTCTAACTTTAGGCGCCATGGCGCCTAATGTCAGTTTCTTAGGGAGGGTGGCGTACTACCTAGGTAACACGACCCCCAGTTTTGACTGAAATAACGAGTCAAATGCCAAAAGTTTAATCAAAGCTGTAGTAATGTTTCAAATGAAATGAAATAAAATTTCATTACTCATAACCACTTCCTGTCAGTCAATCATTGAATTGATAAATAAATGTATTCATTGCTATAAATATGAGATATCACGACATGGCGGGTTATATCAGTCTCTAAGAGGGGGGTGGCGTACTATCTAGGTAACACACCATGCTATTTTGAAGTCTACCCGAGTCTGGGACCTGTCACATAAGGCGCCATGGCGCCTAAAGTTAGAGAATTCGGTATGAATGTAATTTCATTGCTATTCAATGACTACTCGTATTACAGTAAAAAGTTTAAAACTTTTGAATAAATGAATTGTACGCGGTAATCAGTATTAAAAGATTAAGTTTTAAGCAGATAACATTTTATTTTAAAACATTAATTTGTATATAATTTGTAAGTTTTAAAATTAGTTTATTTTA